AAAAGTAGCGACTGCACAGAATTTAAGCGCGTACGGTTCACTGTTATATGAATTTGTATAAAATATTCAGTATAATATAATAAGTATTGCATGTAGTTGAGTGTAACATTGAAAACTTTCACCCCTCGAAAACCAATTACAACCTCTGCTGCGCCTCGGTTGACAATGTATTTTTTGGGGTGAAAATTTTTAATGTAACACTCAACTACATGCAATATTTATATAACTGTTCATATATTTAATATCATTGCAGTGAAATCTCAATATTTACCCTTTGTCCCGTTTAATCTGATTTTATTTAATTTATGCCGACCGCCTTTTCCTCTGTATATTTTTTCTCTTCACTTACTATCTTGGATATTCCATGATCAGATAAAGGTTCAAAAGAAGGATTCTGTGAGTTTTGTTTTCTAATTTTATATTTCTTCTTCCTTTTTTATCTTTCAATCTTTTCATCTCCTTTAACCACCCTTTCTTTCGATTTAACTTCCTTTCTCTGTATCTTGTTTTCCATGCTTTTATTTAGGTTGAAAATAGAACATTTGTTATAAATTTGCCATTTTCTTGTATTTTGTTTCCTTACTTTTACTACATGTATAATGTACACATTTTTTTTTATTTCATACATTTTGCCTTTATCTGGTTCTCTGACACTCTTTTAACGGGACCTGTTTAAGAGATAATATCTTATTTTTATATGGACATATGCGGGCATATAAGAGCTTGCATATTAACCATGCTATTTAAACATTGCTAAGTTTTAAAATACGTTGCAAATTTCCTTATGTCATCAAATTTTAAAGTCCGTGAGGTTGTTATATCCAAATTCCATTATGATATCGTTTAAGTCACAAAGGTGTTTCCTTTCTTTTTATCCTCTAAAACTTACTCTACACATAGTCTGTATGAATAAAATATAGTTGAATGGGAATATAAATGCAAAACTCCAAAGTGCGATGGTGACGCCAAAGTCCGATGATCTTGCTAAACCCCGATGGTCTGCGGCAAACCCCGATGACTCTATGTCATTACGGCCGCCAAAGTCTGCATGATGATCACGACAAAGTCTGATGGCTAGTTTCCTATGAGACGCGTTGCGCTAAAGTTCGATGGTCTGATACGCCAAGGTCCGATGGTGCGGAGGAACAGTCAATCAATGTTTATGACGTCACAATAGTCCGACGTCATGCCATTGTCCTGGATTCAAAATCAGTATTCTCCTGTCTATACAATTTTACTGATTTTGCTTATTGTTTTCACCCACTAGAGGCATTAATTAGGATAAGTCCTCGCACACCACTCGACTGATAAGCCGTAGGGTTAGTCCTTGAACACCTTTGGATTAATTATGTGGTTCTTCGAACCCACCCGAAATATTCTCGAGTTAGCCTAGTCCTCGACTGATTTGGATTAGTCCAGCATCCACCCAAGATATTTAGGTTATAGTTACTGAGTATCACGCACTTTTCGACTGATTACGGCTAGTCTCGCAGCTATATCAAAAAGATGACGGTTAATCTTTGCATTTAATGTTTATTTGTCTTTATTTTAAACAATCGGCCCTTGGAATGGCGCGGCATCGCCTTTTTGCGCAGTAGTACTATGACATCATAAACGTTTCCGAACCCTCGGATTTTGGCGTGTCAAACCATCGGGGTTTAGCGCAGACCACCAGACCTTTGCGTGACCATCGGACTTCGGAGTTCCATCGCACTTTTGAGTCCTACATATTAATATTGTGTCAATAAGGGTGCTCTTTTGATAACTTAGTGAAATTACAATTATTCTATGAATATCTACTTCTGTGCTGCTGGGAATTTGAATGACGAATAAAACGCATCGTCGTGAAGAGCAAGGTTACCTCTTCCAAAATTGTGAAATGTGTGGCCCTAGGGTCAGGGGTTAACTGGGTGGACTGAGAATCACTAAACTTTGTCAATTGATGCATATACTTTCTAGAAGCATGTCAAGCAAAAGGTTAGTCACAGTGACCTTCTATTGGAATTTCATGACTTTATAAATATTTGAATTGAAGTGATGGTGTTGTACACTTTATCAGAAGAGCATTTCTTTGCCCGTGGGCATCTTATTTCACCTCGACCTTGACTATACTTTTCTTAAATTTTCATTTATATAATTTTAGAGAAACTATTCATGATATGTTTTAACAAACTTCATATCTTGATGAATATGAGTAAGAGCTATTGTTGGGCAATAAAAATTTGGCCCTGATCTTTCATTTACCCTGACCTCGTTTTTCTTAACTTAAATTCATGTAAACTAAGTTTCAAAGAAACTTTGCATAATGATTTTCCCCAAACTTAATATGCAATTTCAAATAAATTGTTCATAATAATTTTAAGTAAGTTTATAAACTGAAGCATAATTTGGTGAGAAATTGTATATCTTTTAACTTTGACCTTCCAAATAACCTTTGAATTCACAATTTTCTTTTTTAAAAATTTATTTAAAAAAATATTCAATATATTTGTATCAAACTTAACTAATACGAATTTTTGAATTTCATTCCTTATGGAAACTAGGTATGACATTCATGTCCATGGAAATATCTCCAGTTGCTGATTTTTTTATACAAGGCTTGAACAGAAAAAATGTACTGAACAGCAGCAAATTTAAACCCTTTTATTCTTTTTCAACAAGAATCTGACAACAACATGTAACATAAAAATTCGGAAAACTCGGTCATTTCCATAATTCATAAAGATATTTTTTTGTCTCTAATCTATTCAGAATATATTTTCAAGAAATTAAAAATAAAATTTTAGTATTGGATGTAAAAAAAAAAATACCTAATTTGCAAGTTTTTGTGAGAAGGAATAATGTTAGAATAATGAAAATATTTTAGAACATAATTTTTCTTTTAAGAAAAAGGTAAAAATGGCTTGTCATTTAACCTACGTGGTAAGGGAGCAAAGAAAGATTTGAAGAAGGAATTATAAGGAAAGAAAAAGAAAACTAGATGAATTATTCAATTATTGATACAAAATGTCAATTAATAAAAAATTCTTAAAATAATCATTGAAACTTTATGACATACTTGTAAATAGGCATGTATGACAGTATGTAAAGTTTGTGGATTTCATCAAATTTTGAATTGAGAGACTAAATAAATATCAATGCAGAATATTTACAAAAATATCCATGATTTATTAAAAAGAATGCAATAAATGAATACTGAAATAGAACATTCATCTCATTATTGAATTGCACGTATAACAAATTTCGATCTTGCTAACAGTAAAATACAATCAATATAAAATCATTGCATTATATAAAAATAAAATCCAGACCTGGTTAGTCTTCAGATAATCTGTATATCGTCCTCCTTTTATCAAATAATTAAGTCATGGCATATTATTAATTTATTAGACCCCTTTAAATGTATCTCTGAAATCCCACCGAAATGGGGATTTACAATGCACCTCTGCAATAATAAGGGTATGCAGGTATGAAAACTTAATGTAAACTTTTATGCAATTTTTTCGATGTTTCAATGTAGAATACAATCGTATATACATATATGTCATAAAAAAGGTAATTGTACCAAACCAACAAAGTATATTTCAAGTCTTTTTCTTGGATTTGGTAGGTTTATTGAGACATTCTGGAAAATACTTTGCACATAGTTTTCTTTGTCTTCACTTTGGATGCCTTCTGTGATAAATTGCAAAAATGATAATATGATTTCAGAAACTTAAAGTTATTCACGTAAATTTCTACACAGTTCATCTTGTATGTAGTCTATTCTAAGTTTTGTAGCTTTCTTCAATTTATGACATGGATTCTCTTTAAGCGACTCTCGATAAGACCGTAAAGCCCCATGTAAGTCCCCCACAACTTGCTGACAGATCCCCAGTATCTGCCAGGATATGTCTCTCTCTTCAAAAGGAACATAAATCCCATCATCATAGAGCAGCAGTGTCTGTAGGTCTGTCAGTAACTGTAAACACTGAGATCTAATACCCAGTCTATAGTGCGATAACACTGACAACATCTGTACTAATACAGATGGAGGAATATATATTAATATTTTATTTACAACCGACTGTTCTAATGTTAATTCTTCAATATAGCATATCTCAGGAAGAAGTTTAATTGACATTGTCCAAGCACCTTTAATTCTTTCAGACAAAGACAGACCACTCACATATTCCCTATATCTATAACTGTCTCCTACACCATAATACATAACATGGGGCTCTGATAGTCTTCGTTTAGTTTGATTAGTTATATAGAGTGCTTCGTTATACCTACCTGTCCTATAGTAATACAAAGCTAAATACAGTGAATAGGAGATGGTTCCTATCTGTGATGACAATTTCAACATGCTACAAAGTTTTCTGTCCAAACAGTAAACATATTTATGGTTATAATATTGAACACTGTTTACAATCATGAAGGCTGCTGGAACAAGACACTCAGCTGTCCACTATTGTAATGTTACTGATTGGTATGGTGACCGTGACAATTGTAACAAAGTGTCTACAGATTTTAAAAACAAAAAAATGTATTCCAAGTCATAAGAAAATTTACCAAAATGCCAAAGTTCATTTTTCGAAACAAAGATCATTACATGCAATATCGTTAGAATGTCCTTCTGATAAGGGGATCACTATTGTCAGATCGTAAAGGGCTGGCTCAAGAATTGATCTAAGTGTCGGACTAAGGAGTAGACTGGACACGCCTAACCTGTAATACTGATAAAGTTGTTCTAGAAGAGATTCACGTGCAACCCCGACAATTTTGTTCAAAAACATATTGTTCTGCGGAATAAAAAAATTCGCGAATTTGCCACGATACACACAGAGAATGAGATACTTAAAACACATCCAAAAGCATTTCAGCAGATTGTTAGGACACCAGTTCATATGTCCAACTTGTATTAACCAGAAGATTGTAGTCTTCATGAAGTATGAACACAGTAATGGTTCCTCCACGTTTTTATTGATTACTTCTTTGAGAAATATTTTAAGCAATCCATAACATATAAACTGAGTATGGTTCATAGAGTACACTAATTTTAGCTCGGCCATAGAAAAGGATAATCTCCACTCTAAATCATTTCTACTGGTAGTACATTTACTCCCAATAGGCACACAGTGACAGCCATCGTTTAAAATGTCTTTCAATACATTTTCAGGAGGCCATACGTGTCCAAGGCATCTTTTTATCCAGTTTCCAGTAGTACTTGGCCAATATTTGCAGAACACGCAAAGTGTATGATCATATTGAATAGTTCCCTCGTAACCACTCGTACAAGGACCATGAAGATATGAATTTTGTAGATTATGAGCAGAAAAAAAATTGTGAAAGATCCATTGTCTCCATAACAAATTTGATATATAAAATCTATCATTTAATGTAATGATTAAGAATCTTAAGGAATTCAAACGTGGCGGCGTTAAGAGCTGTAATCTAACAAAACCTGGCGATATATCTGTGTCCTCCATCAGCATAATATGATGAATTGATGGATTGTAATCTCTAAGCTGACAAAGGTTATTTATTACTTTAAAACAATCAACCCATGACATGTAATCCATGTCAGATGAATTTAACCTGAATCCCTCCCTATGACTACCGCTAAGCATAAGTCTGACTGGACATTTATTTTTTCTTTTTTTAGGTTTTCTATGTAGCAAGTCCTCCACGTCCCTTACATCCCTTCTGATGGCCACTTTACTTGGTGTCCCTATCTCAAAACGACTCAGACCTACATAGAGGATCTCTGATAGGCGGGGAATATGGTCCATTCTGTAAATTAAGTATAAAGAATAAGTAACTAACGGTATGTTTTTTGTAAGAGCTGAAATAGTAGAAAAGTAGACGGATTGTTTTCTTTTATATGTACTGTTAATATAAATAGGAATTTTTAAAGCTTCGAATCCCAAAATAAATTAATAAATAGCTTTATTTATTTTCTTTTAAACACAAAACACCAATAATTACTTTTTATGTCAAATATATTAATTATTTGTTACAGAATACTGCTACGTAAAGATTATTCAATTAAGGTTCTACGGGTTAAGCAATTGTTATTTTCGTTATCATTGTTTTTTAATTTTATTTGTTAATTTTAGAGGTGTATAATAGAGCATATACATGCATAACTCATTTGTTTACGTTTTTGTAAAGAATATGTTCAAATGAATTGGTATTTTATAATTTTGAAATATTTTTTGAATGCCGTAGCAAATATGTTGTGAGAACATTTTTAAATGTGAAACAAATATTAGATATTTTTTAAGTTTTTCCTCAGCACAAATTATCAGTATCAAATCAATCGGAAAACTTTCACCATGAATCTCTATGGTGACCAACTGAGTTTATATAATGTATATGGAGTCATTTCTTTTCTTTGTCCATATACTACAAATATAAGTGCATAAAATCGCTTTGCGATAACTGTATTGAGTGACGATAAAACAAATAGCCTTGCATACAAATGATATATGATATGATTTGACATATACATACAATGGAGGTGCTTATTATTACTGTTCAATTTTTGAAAACTAATTTAGTTGAGACCGTGTACATGATATATTATTTCTTTATTCTAAAAATGATTAATAAACCATTTCTAACAACACTCCCCCCTTTATTATTAAACACAATCATAGAAACTTCAAAAATATATATGATAATGATAATTACTTAATTGTAAATGTTCTCAAAGTGCCCTGTCACTTTTAAATGTAAAGTCAATCAATCGGTAAATGAATCTTTAACAAAATTTATGTTCACATTCTACAAATCCTTCACTTTCATTTTCCTTGTGCCTAAGTTTTTCCCTGCCCATATTCTCCATTTTGAATTCTAAGAGTCAACCGCTTGGCGCAGTTTTCAGAGCGCCTGCTCTAGATCTAGAGTCGCAGAGCAAGGAGTTGATCCTTTAATCGCGGATTTGAGTTCCACAACAGGACTTGAAGACCGGTCCTTTAAATGAGACTGTAGAGACCGAGTTGCGTGACGCAGTAGAGGCTGGCACGAAAGAGAATCACCACTGCTCAAAGGTCCTAAGTGGCGAGTACAGGTCTAAATTTGCAGACCTCAATTTAATCTTGGAAATTAGCCGTAACTTTTTCTCTTACAGAACCTCTAAGACTTGAAGTTCCTTCTTACTAAGGACAAATATGATTTTGTCTGTTTTCTTATTCCGTAAATAAATAAACAGTACTAATGATGATGCGAAATTGATGTATTATACCTCTTCTAAAACATAATTTTAAAGAATACAGGCTAAAGTATTATGTTTGGTAAAAGTAATTTGATAAACACAATAATTCACCTCATCCGATACGTATTCAAATCCATCAGTTATGTATGATGGTCTTCTAATTTTAAAATTAAAAAAAAATACATCAAATAATTTTGTTTCTTTAATTTTATGTACATGTAATTATATTTCAATGCTTTACATACCTATATCATCCTTAGCCCACTTTGTTCAAGAAAGCAATAAAATATGAAATGTTTGATGAAATATTCCGATCAATTCATCACTACTGGCCCCTCAAATCATTTCTTTTTAATTGCAATTTGGGTTGAAAATTGTACCTGTAAATAAATTTTAAAAACCTTAAAAAAATATAGATACATTATTTCAAATATAAAAGTGGGGGAAAATTGCATTGAATTATATAAAAAGGAGGTAAAATTGCACCAAAAACAGTTCCCCTTCTAAAAGGTTTGCGAAACTGTAATTCTGAGTTCAATAAAACCTGTCAGTGTTTAGAAAATGAAGGCATATCTTAAGAGTTAACATACCTGATTTTATAATCTATAACTTATTGTCACAAAAGTTCAAATTTCCCGGCATCCGGTTAAAATTTAAAAAAAAGACATTGTCTTCTATCCTAAAGATTGTAAAGTTGCACGTACAGAAGTTTGTAAATTGCTGTAGTCAGTAGGGCAATATCAATTCGGAAAACACTCTTTACAGCTTTATATCAATGAAACACACAACTGTGTACTCTTTAAGAGGATGTTTCGTGATTGAAACATAAAAGAGTTTGCGGAATATAAATACTTGTACTTCAACGACCGTGATTGGAAGACGCTGGAGATGGCCAATAGGAAAATAAGGAAATTCAAATGTGACTTAAATAAAATGATTTATCACAATTTGTATAAATCATAACGTTTTGTACATCATTATACAATAAAAAAAATATGGGGGAAAAAAGAGAACATACAGAAAGACACATGAAAATAAGCTATGAATGAATCATAAACCTTATCATAAATTCTCCACCAGCGGACTGATGTCAGAAGTTATGATATTGTTCAGGATTTTTTTTTTCTAATTTTGTATTTTGATCTTCCGTTTCAACGTATCTTTTTTTCCAACCTTCTTTTCTTTCAAAATGTATATAATTCACTTTTCGCTTTTCTGAATTAATTTTATATGCAAGGCACCCCGAGGCATTGACGGTCGTGCAGGCTGTGGAGAACGCTAATCCCTACACACGAACAGTATACACAGGCAGTCAATGAGTATTACCTATACAGCTTGTTTGGCCTACATTTCTAAGGATGATGTGACATAACTACTATCTGGGGCTCCTTTTTCTACAACGAATTATATTTAATCTACTACTATTTTGATAGTTTTCAAATATGAGTAAATAAAAACGATGCCTTTTGAATACTTTCAATATTTCCGACAAATTTTAATTATCAGGACTACTGCATTATCTATTCTTTCTTAGACACAATGACAGCAAAATTCGGCCTTGTTTGTGATAGTTTGTTCTTTTATGAAAAGAATAGGTGGGTCTTGGTACAATAGAGTGGTATGCATGTAAAAGGATTCTTACGTATATAGCTATTGTCTTTAATTCGCTCATAGAGAACAATTGTCCAATCCAATGACAGAACATGCAGAACGTAAAAAAAAAAAAATAAAATCAAGTCTACATTTTTTTGGGGGGGGGAGGGGGAGGGGGGCTGATGCTATAAAGATTAAAGATAGATTTGTAATCTCTCACGATAAAAAAATCTTTAAGCTGATAAAAAAAAGAAAAAAAAAGACTGTGAAGCAGGGTGAATAAGAATCTTTAATGATGTCTATTATTATTAAAATAAGCACACCATGACAAGATTTACATTTCTCATTTTTTAATAATAAAAGATATACATTAAGGAATACACATGTTAAGCCATCTTTCGATGTGCATTTTGGTATTCAAAATATCCTTCGTGTTCTTATCTATCTCTCTATCAGAATCCTTATCTTAAGAACTACAATCACATTAGAGTTTTTGATTAAATACGATAACATTTAAAATCAAAACACGAACAAAATTGATGATTTATTATGTTCAAATATTTATATATTCATGTCTTTAAGGATATACGATGTACAGTTCAGAGTCCTTATTTTGAAGAAATCAAAAACAATGTCTAACTCGAATGATAAATTTCTGAATGTTAAACAGTGTAAAAAGATTTCTTTAAAAATGTTTTACAGTTATCTAAGCTAAAAAAAAAGCTATACTAACAGATTCACTAGACTTGACAGACCATTAAATGCATTTTTCTGTATGCTGGTTATATTCTTGTTGGATAGATGTCTAAAAAATACATGTAAGATTTAAGGATATGCAAGAATGATATAGCGATAACGAACAGTATTCAATCTCAAAGTCTATAAAACAATACAAAATAGGAGCAGAACAAACACGGACCTCTGAAACATCAGAGGTGGAATCAGGTGCCTCGAAGAGTGAGCATCCCCTGCTGAATGGTCACACCCACCATGTGCTCCTTGTCATGATTGGGAAATAACAGAAAAATCCGTCGTCAATTCAGTGTATAAATAATGGACCAACAATTAGTATGAAAAACGTCAGTCAGCATTTGACTCAATGATAAATTGTATTTGATGATAATGTCATTGTATCGACCACAGAACTTACCAAATGGTGACTTTAAACGAGACTGCTGATATTTTTGTTTCATCAACTTGCTTGTCAATAATTTACCTCGTATTAGGAATTGTTCATACGTAGAACATGCTCTAAATGCTTATCGAATCAGCTGAAATATGTATACTCCGTATGCAGGTGATGAAGGTATATTGCTGCATAAGTAAGGGATGTTGACGATAGAAACGTTACAGTCATCATGTAACATATAGCTTGGTTGTTAGATTATCATTAACGTCTTTTTCAAGTAAAATATCTAATTATGAAACAGATGTGTCAGACTCTGTGGTATCTTTTATCTCAAGCTCACCAGGATATATCGTATCGACGGATGAATTGAAATTACCATTGTTAATTGACAATACGTCGTCGATGTATCTAAATGTCGAGTTAAAGGCCACAGCAAGTTTTCTTTCTTCTTTTCACGCATAAGATTTTACACAAAATCTGGTTCATATGAATATAGAAAGAGGTCTGCTAATAACAGAGCGCAATTGGTACCCTTTGGAATTCCAATAAATTGTTGGAATACCTGGTCAACAAAAAAAAAAACACATAGAATTTGTCAATCAGAAACTCAAGTATCTCTTTGATGTCAACTTCAGAGTACTTGTGTGTGCAATCAGTTATCTTTCTAATTAATTTGTATGAACTGAAATTCATTTTATTATTTTTACACTATGTGTAAACCATTTTCAGGTACGCTTTTCTCCGATGGTGTATTCAGATTTTTAATTAGATGGAAAATTAAAAGAATATAATTTTAGTCTTATGGCGACGCCATTGACATGTCGTTATTTTTGGATAAAATAATGCGAGAAAAATAATCATTCATTACATAGTGAATCTTGTCCCCTCGATGGATTTTCACTATCCCACACTCGTAGTAATGAATGATTCTATTAGTCTTTATCTCATAGTAATATACCAGTCAGTACTAATTTTTACTTAGTCTAATAATAAACAAAGACAGAAAAAAATTAAATTACTTTAAAATGAAGTCTGCATTTTTATTGGTTGGGAAAGACTTTAAAGAAAAATGTTAAATCTCTCACTATAAATTCTTTAACTTGAATAGAAAATGTGAAACAGAGTGAAGAAGAATCTTTTTAAAATGCTTATTTCAATAAAAATAAACACAAAACCGATTTACATTTCTCAGTTTTGAATCATAATAGAGATAGTACAACTTGGTTTTCAAAAATATCAAATGTCTACTTGTTTTTCTTCCATCTCTCAATCAGAATCCCTAACCTTAAACCTACAGTCACTTTAGAGTTTTATTTTATTAAATAATGTAACATTTTAAATGAAAACACTAAATAAATCGATGATATATGATATTTACATATTCATATCTTCACGAATACATGCACAGTTCAGAGCATTTATTTTGAAGAAATCAAAACAAAAAAAATAAAGTACTCGAATGAAGAATATCGGAATGTTTAACAGTGTAAAGGGATTTCTGTAAAAATTATTAATAGTGTTCTAAATTAGAACAACTATACTTACAAAAACGCTAGACTTAATTGACAGACCATTAAATGTATTCCCCTGTATTGCGGTTATACTGTTGTTGGATAGGTTTCTAATTAAAATACATGCAGAGAAAAAGATACAAATAAGTTCTGGATAACATATTCAATATATACCTAGAGAGAAAGAAAAAGTATTCTTTGACCATTAAATTTCGGAAAGTTTGTTTGCTAGATTTTAAATTTTAGGTTCTTTTTAATGTAAAATATTAGTGTGCATGAATGTCATCTTTCATGTTTTATGGGCAAACACGATCAAATATATGTCCCACAAAAATAGATGACAAATCTAAAAACTGAAAAAAAATCTACTTTCCGCCACTTTTCTCATTTCTATTTCTTATCAGAGTATTCTGTATTACGACTAAGATGCCATAACATGCATAGGGTATAACATTTTAACTAATAAGAATACAATACAGAAGTTCAATTAAGGGATTTTTACGTTATGAAGAATAACTTGGGATCTCTAACTATGAAATAAGTAAATGTATAGTACTTCAAACGTAAAAATTAAAGTGTACAACAGAGTAAACAAGAGATGTATGAGCTTTTTTTATTATGGAAATAAGTACATAATGCATTTCTCCGATAATGTAGAAATATAATGTAGAGATGTGTCGCTATCATTAAATGCACATCTTGGATTTAAAATTATCCTACGTCTATGTATTTATCCCTCAATAGGAATCTCTATCCTAATACCTACAATTACTTTAAGTGTTCTAACGTATGTGATATATGTAACGTATGTGATATATTTTAAATCAAATCACTACCGTTATTGACGAAGCATTATATATGTTCATATATCTAATATGTCTTTTATGATAAAGTTCAAAACATTTGTATTGTAGGAATCAAAAATTCACAAGAACTCAATCGAGGTATTTCTGAATTTTAAACAGTGATAAGATAATTCTTTAAATTGATTCACATTCAGTGAGAACTTCTATACTTACAGATACTCTAGACTTGACAGACCACTAAATGTATTCTCCTGTATTGTGGTTATGCTGTTGTCGGATAGGTCTCTAATATTAATGAGAAGAAAAAATTCACAAGTATTGTAAATCACTGTATATTCGCGAGAACTTTATTTTCGCTTAATTTCGTGAGACAATGTGCTCGCAAAAATTTCATTCTCGAGTATATTATTATCCCTAAGAGCAAAAACCACAATTTGTAAAATAAAAATGTTTCGCTGATAAAAATGAAATTGCTGTCTCGCGAAAAAAGTGTCGCGAAAATTATGTGATCTTCTTGTTCTGGTTGATATGTTCAATATTCATCTTGTAGGGGAAGAGAAAACGATTTTATTTGACTCTACATATTTTTGGTCATATAAACATTTTTGTGTCACAAATTCTTAATTTATTCTTCTTTTTGCTAAAGTTAAGTGTGAATGCTACCTTCTTTGAGCTGTAATTTGATAAACAAGCAGAACTTTATCATGTTTCTAACGCTATTGTCATACAAAAATATGTCAAAGACTGAAAAAATGTAATCA